GGGGGGAGGGGGGGAAGAGAGGAATGAAATCGCTGTCCTTAAATAGTGGTGGAAATAAAGCAGTATCTCGCTATCTTGCAGCGACCTGTGTCTGTAAACGGAGGTGCAATATTCTGGAGAAAATGGAAACGTCTCAATTTGTGTAAAAAGGTACATTTTCTTGACATGTTTTATGGCCTTTATACATCCCATAAAAAATGTGACGTCTAGGGTTTCTGAGGAATTCTTTCTGTTGAGTTTTCATCTAGAATTTACCACATTACCTGATTTTTTCTAACGCTGTGTTTCCCCCACTTTGGATCTCTTATCTGGAGGGCACACTCTGGGGTCTGTGGGGGTCAGCCCCCCGCCCGAGCCCTGGCTGTGATACCTGCCCGACACCCGCCTCCTCTTCCTGGGTCTGCAGGTCCTTCCAGAGAATATTGCACCTCTTCTTCAAATGCTGCACAACTCATCTGGGGGGCATCGGGAAGAGCGGGGCCAGCAGGTGGAGGGAGGTCATCCTGCCCCTCTGCTCTGCCCTGGGGAGGCCCCATCTGGAGCACTGGGACCAGTTGTGGGCTCCCCAGTTCCAGAAGGACAGGGAACTGCTGGAGAGGGGACAGCAGAGGGCTACAAAGATGATGAGGGGACTTGAGCATCTCCCTTATGAGGAGACGCTGAGGGACTTGGGGCTTTTTAGTCTGGAGAAGGCTGAGGGGGGATCTGATGAATGCTTATAAATGCTTTAAGGGAGGGTGTCAAGAGGGTGGGGTCAGTCTTTTTTCAGTGGTGCCCAGGGACAGGACAAGAGGAAATGGGCACAAACTTGAATAGAAGAAGTTCCACCTAAACATGAGGAGGAACTTCTTTCCTGTGAGGGTGGCAGAGCCCTGGCAGAGGCTGCCCAGGGAGGTGATGGAGTCTCCTCTGGAGACATTCAAACCCACCTGGACACGTTCCTGTGGGACCTGCTCTGGGTGGCCCTGCTCTGGCAGGGGGTTGGACTAGATGATCTCCAGAGGTCCCTTCCAACCCCATATCATTTTGTGATTCTGTGATCTGCTTGTTTATAATAAACCCGATACTGTCGGCAGGGCAGAGGCACACAAATAGTGTTGCAAAACTGTGTTGGTAAGGTGATCTGAGCTGTTTCCAAACAGTAGTATAGGTCTGTTGCCTTACCCTTGTCAGTGAGGGGGCTGCTCTTACCATCAGGGTGTAATTTTCTGCTGGAATTATATTCTTAGGGATTTTTGGTCTTTGGTGTTTTTGGGTTTTTTCCCTTTGTCGTGTTGTTTAAGCGGTCCATCAGACTGTTTGGAATTAATTTTGAACTTGGTGGTTTTGATGGATGTTGGTCTTTCAAGCAATTTCCTCAGATTTGGCAGGGTAGCTAGCATTCATCATGAGTAGAATTAATAGATTTGAAAAGCATTTATGAATAACTGGTTCAGAAGCCATGCCATGGGGATTTTTTTTGGATCTAATTATCTCTTTAAATTCCCAATTCTGTTTTAAATATGTAGTACTCAGAGGAGATAACATACTGCATTTTTGAAATGTGTTTTACATTAGTGCGTATATTAAATCAGAAGAAATATAATCAGTTGCTTTTGAAAATTACAGTGCTGAACCTGATACACTGAGCACATAACTGTCATGAACTGTCACTCAACATGACATTGCCTTCTAATATATAGTGGCAAAGGAGAAAAAACTGCTAGAAACAAGAGAATCCTAACTTCTAGTTGTTCAGAACAATTTTTTCTGTAGTAGTTGAACATGTCTGAACATTGCAATACTTTAGTTTTATATTCTACGGGGTTTTTTAAATTTTTATTGAAAGTAGTTATTCTTAAAGTTTTTCTACGTACACCAAGCTACTTTTTAAAAACAAATGAGATTTTTTCACCTCTAGAAAACATTTGACAGTTATAAATGCACGTTTTTCAGTCTCTTAGTCAGCTGACAGTTTGTGACATGACATTTAAGTTAACTTAAAACTTTTAACAGGCCCCTCCAATGACAGTGAGGCCAGTTTTCACTATGACAGTCTCAATCAAGCAAATCCCTTGAAGAGAACGAGATGTGTTTTCGTCCCAGTGGGCAGGTACAGGAACAAAGCATGAGGCTGCATTTCTGTGGTCACTGGGAAATTCCGAGGAAGTCAGTGGGATTTTTGGCTGCTGAGGAATGCGGGCTCGGTGCCCTCAGGTCACAAGACACTGTTCACTCACAAAGTCATCAGGAATGTCTGTTGCTTCACTGGAGTGAGGGGAATTATGCAGGGTTAAGCTGAATGAAAATTGGGTCTGTGCCTTTCCTGGTTTTCTTTTATAATAAGAAGTTTTTCCCTGTGTATTCTGGCTGTAGCGATCCTTAGAGCTTCCTGCTTGCCTTGCTTTGGCTGCTTGTGTAAGCAGAAAATGTGGATTTTATTGCAGGCTAGATGAGCCACCCTGTGGCAATACCGTGCATTTCACCTTCATCGAGTCAAAACGACAACAAAACCAGTTACTAAATGTGTAAAAGACTGGAAAGTATTTCCTGGACTGCCCCGGAAAGTATTTGCTGGGTTTTTTTCTGCACATACTGGTACCAGATGCCACCCACGTTCTTTCTCCATCCACTAGTTAGTTGGTTTTCCGGAGGAGTGGTATATATATTATAGGCCTGATTAAAATCTGCTGGGTCATCATAATTCTTTGTGCCAAATTCAAGATTTTTGTTAATGCCAGCTGGTTAGTTACCTTAATTTGACCTTGTTTAGGGGCTAGGGCTTGCAGAATCAGAAAAGCCTATTAACGTAAAAGAACTTTATGCAACCCCTGTGAAATTCCCAGGGGGAAGAAAGCAGGAACTGCTAATTATGTAACACTAATGGTCCAGCAATTTTGCCTTTTGTTGAAAAAAATCCCCCAACAAATAATCCTATAGGTGAAAACTCTGGGATAATCAGTTATTGAATTAAATGTAGCTTCTCCTTTGCTAGTTGAGGTATAATGTGATATGTTTTCAAAGTCCCACCTGCCCTTGTGATCACGTGAAACACTGAGGGTAGATTTTCAATCAGGTTGTGGGATTTAGGCTTTCAAGTCTCATTACATTTCGATTGGATGTAAGCACTCAAATTCTACTGTATTTTAGAAGAATTCAAGCATTCACTCTTCAATTCATATTTCAATGGATTTGAGCCCTTCTCTCTCAGGATACTCTGAAATCTATGACTTGGAGGATATTTGTTTTATGACAAAAAAGCCAATTTTGTTTCTCAGCTGTAGAGTCTTGAGCAGTAGAAGTGATGGAATTTCCCCTAAGGGCAATTATTTCTGTAATTCAAGAATCCTAGAATTCTATAATGGTTTGGGTTGGAAAGCACCTTCCAAGGTCATCTAGTCCAACCCCCCTGCTGTGGACAGGGATGTCTTTCACTAGATGAGGTTGCTCAAAGCCCTGTCCAACCTGACCTTGATCACTTCCAAGGATGGGGCAATGTCCTGGTTTGAGGCAGAACAGAGCCAATTTTGTTTTCAGTAATGTTACTTTTCAGTTCAGTTTCTTCTAACAAATTCTCTGAAATTAACAGCATATCTGCTTCTAGCAGATACCACCTGATGTTTATAGTTCCTACCAAGGGATGGTACGCAGAGGGGCTCTTACATATATTTATTGCTATAAGGTCCAAGCTGGAGAGTCAGAAGCAGAAGAGGGTAGAGATGTTGCAGGTGTGGGGAGGAGGAGACAAGGACAGGTGACCCAAAACTGACCAACAGGGCATTCCATCCCATCTGCATCAGGATCAGTAGAAAAGCTGAGGGATCGAAGGGGTCAGGCCTCTTTCTTCAATGGCTGGTGTCTGAGGAAGACTCTGTCTGTCCATCTGCCTTTGATCCTGGTTTGTGTGTTCCTGACTCCAGATCCAGACTCCAATTCCCATCTGTCGCTGAGTCCAGTCTGGGACTTCCCCAGTGCCTGCTGGGGATGGGATTGTCATCCTGGGAGCTCAATACTGGTTTTGTATATATTGTATATACCTCATTATTTTCTGATTAATATTATTATGTTTTCTTTTATTATTACTATTTCATTATAGTAGTTTACTTTCTTTCCAGCCCATGAGTCTCTCTCTCTTATTTTCTCTCTCTTCCCTTCTGGGATGAGAGAGAGAGGTTAAAGACCTCATCAAAGACAGCTTCTCTTGGCGACCAGTTCTGGTGCCTCACCACCTTCGACATACAATGTTTCTTCCTTATGTCCAATCTAAACCTACTTGGTTTGTGTGTTCCTGACTCCAGATCCAGAC